GTTTGGGGAGGCAAGAGGCAGAAAGAAGTGGAACAGCTCAGACATGCTGCAAGTTCAAGAGATGTGCTGAACCTGCGTGTCAGAAGAACGACCAAAGACCTCTTGTGCTGTTGCCAGAGACACTGCACAGCTGCTGCCATGGCTGACAGCAAGGCTGGGCACCGAGCTGCTCTGCACACCTGCTGTCTATGTGGAGTGCCAAAAGAATAAACACATGCCTTGCTAGGACTGTTTTTTGCTAGAAGTGGCTCCTTTCCTTGCCTTGCACTCATCCAACAAGATGCCTGCAAGAGCACCTTTTCTTACGGAAGTTTTCTTATTAGAACCAGGCAGACAGCAGGAACAAGCTCCTTCCCTCCCATCAAAAGGTACCGCAGGGTGCTCTGGCTGCCAGCTTACTCCTCTGGACACCTGATCCTAGAGCCCTGTGACTGCTGAGGGCACTGATCCAGACTCAGGAGCTTCTCCACCAAGCCAGTGAACATTTCCGACTATGTCAGCACAGAACATATCCCCTGCACCTCTATTTCCACCACAGAAAAAAAAAGCTTTACCATTTCCAAGAAGCACCAGAAGGCTCCCCATGAATTATATCCATTTATGTACATAAAGGTGTCTCTCCCTCCTGAGCTGGGGCTATTGACTTCAACTTTTTCTCCAGGGAGGGCCTCTGCAGGAGGTACAAGTGACCATCTCCTGTGCAAGGAGGGACATGACTACTGAGACATCACAGGTGCTACAAAACTTCATCATATATACTTCCCCTAGGATAAGCATCCTGATTCATGCTTTGGCCAGCATAAACTGGCATTGCTCTGAGGATTCTATAGACTCTAAGCTGGTTTATTTCCCTCTGTCAATCTGGGATTTGGTATTAAGATGACACAAACACAGAGAAAATAAATCTCCATGACCAGTTCTTAAGCCTTTGTATGCACATAATCAAATTGCAGAAACACATTTAAGATGCTGATATTGCTAATTATCTCAGTTTCAAGAGGTTTTGTTCATTGGGCTTTTTTTCATTTTTTTTTCTCCTGCTACCCAATGGAAAATGTCTCTACAGTTCAGCATCCCAATTGTTGGTGGTCACATGGTGACAGCTGACAAGCAAACCCAAATGTCAAATAGCTTATTTCATCTCATGTCAAGCTTGAGAAAGAGTCCTGATTAAGACAGCAATTAAAAATAATTAAATAAAAAAATGCTGTAAACAACCCAGGAAGTGCTCTCCAAAGAGCATCCCAAACAATGCTACTCAATCTAGCAGACACACAACCTCTTTTCTGTATTTTTAGTACTAAAAGCATCTTCTCAGCTTGCTTTTTCATTTTCTGTCGACCTTGCCATGCTTTAGGAGAACAGCTAACTTCCACAGATGGCGTTTGACAGCCAGCTTTGCATTTCACAGCAGAACCCACCCCCCCTTCCCCCAGAATAGAAGCAATTCAGCAGTTCCAACCCACCCTCAGATAGGGCTGTCTAGGACAACATTCACATGCCACACAGACAGTTCAGATGCTGTTGGTTAACTAGGAGTCAGAGGAACCCTAGTACCAGCTCAGACAGCTTTTCAGCTTCACATCCCATAATTTATTAGGCTGCTATGCTCCCAAAGCAGGCACAACAAATCCCATACTGCTCACCAAAGTGAGATGATTGCAGACCTTCCCAAAAATTCATTTCACTACTCAGTATTCGGGATAAAAGAATCTTACAGTAACTGTACTTTAGCATTCCTTGTGACTGAAATAGGATGGTCTCACCATGTTTCATAAGCCAGTTTTTCTCATCCAGGCCAGTGACTTTCAGATTTATATACAGACAAGTGACCATCCTCAAAGCTCCACACCTAGAATTTGTGAAAAGCTGCAGGATTTGAGGCATGCACAAAGAGAAGACTGCAATGCCAGTACTTGGTGAAGTAAAAACTTGGTGAAACTTTTTGGTGAAAACTTTTCACTTGCTTGGCATATAAATGCGCATTTCCTGTCATGCTGGACTCTGAAAGCCCCAAGAGACAGTACAGGTATGACAGAGGCTATTTTCCAGAATACCCTTAGAGCAAGAAGCTATTCATGCCATAACACTGTGCACAATCAAGTAACTTGTAAGCACAGGAGACTGCCCAATGCACCTTGATAGCCATACAGATTATTCTAGTGGAAAAACTGCACTGCTTTTTCATGCCAGCAAACAGAAGAACCTCAAAGCTGGAGAGTGAGCACTCCAGATGCAGGGCAGCATCACTGTTGTAACCTTAAACAACAAATCCAAGATCCCTCCAACTTAATGGTAAAGTGCTTAACCAGAGCTAGGCAAGGTCATATCAGACTGTAAATACCTCCTGATCTCTTATATAAATATAAGATGCCCTGCCTAATATGTTCACCCAATGTTGTTTTCTTTTCTATTCTCAAACATGCCTTTGAAGCCCACAGTGTGCTCTAAAGGCTGCAGATCACTTGGTCAGGGCTTTCAGTTCAGTGTCAGCCCACAGCAAAGCCTTCCTGTCCTACACAAATGATCACAGGAGATCTTAACTAACAGAGAAGGCAGAATGAGTGCACAGGCAAGCTGAACAGATGCAAAGGCCAGAGGGAAAAAGCTGGAAAAGAAACCACTAAATGGGATCTTATTTTCTGAAGTCAAGGAAGATTTCTGCTCTCTCTGATCAAGGTCTCAAAAGACTGGATTCAAAGGAAAACCCCCAAGGAAGAGGTTTTTCCACTCCTCCCTTGCAAGTATTTGTCTCTGCACAGTAGAGTCTTCTTGAGTTCACAGGCATGAGGACACTACACACAATCTGCACACACTCAAATAAGCAAGGCTTCTGCAAAATTCCCGTTTGTCATTCATCAAGAGACATTATTTAGCATTCCAGTTTCATGGACAGGGCAACAGACAGGGCAACATGGACAGGGCAACGTGGACAGGGCAACGTGGACAGGGCAACGTGGACAGGGCAACGTGGACAGGGCAGAGCAGCAGTTGCCACAGGATTCAAAGCCCATGGGCTACCACCTGCTCTTAGCAGCATAGCAAACACAGGTACTCAGGACCCTACAAGAGCCTATATGAGAATGAACTGCTCTCCTAGTTCAGGCTTAGCTGTACCTTCTGCCCTGTCTTCTTTTACCCCTATGATTTCATTCTAACCTCTGGACCTCTGCCTGAAAGCTGCACTGTCAGGAGGTTTGTGACACGGACAAGGTACGGTGATATCATGGCCCTGCCACGCACACCATGTGCTTTTACTTTCAGAAGTCAACTCTGTTGCCTTGGAGCTGCTCTCTACCCAAGATACATGTCAGTCACACAGGTGAGTCAGAAGAAGACAATTCCAGAGAAGTCGAATAGAAGACAGAACTGGAACACCCAAGACCCAAGCCCTGGTTAGCTTTAAAGAGCATGGTTTGCCCTCCTTCAGGAGGTAGGTGAATGCTTCTCAGAAGGTGGCCGCTAACCCAGTCCTCTTGATAATGCCTCCCACTGTACCTCACAGGGAGTGGGAAAAACCATTCTGATTCACAGAAAGCTCTCTACCACGCTGGATGCCTCCCCAGGGCAGTGCCTGGCACACCATGGATGCTCTGAACATATAAATAGCAAGGACAAAGCAGACATGATAACAGGATTGCTCAGCACTCAGAGTGGCATCTGAGTAAGGCAAAGGATTTGGGCACTACCGTCAGCCTGTGCCACACCTTCGAGTGGCAGAGGGATCACCCAGTTAGGGAACTAATTGGGGAGTCACTCTTCAACAGAAGCAACAGCAGTTAAACAACTAAATCCCTGGCAGCTACCTACAAAGGGATCCCTACACAAGAAGGGATTAGGGACTTTTAGCCTTTGTCCACAGTAAAAGTTGGCACCAGGGCATCACTACAACCTTTGAGACCTCAGATTGGGGTCTGAACAGCTTTTAAGAGTTCCAGAAGTTATGGCTGCACTTCACTGGGCATTTCTGTAAACAAATGCTTAGGAAGGGAAACTTCAAACCTAGCTATACAGAAAATGTTAACTTTTGCTGCATGAGAGCTACATCTCAAAAAGGAGTGCTGTGGAAAAACACCTGTCAAGGAGAGAGAACCTCAAGCAGTAAACAGCTCTGGCTGCCCTTAGCTCTCAGAGAGGCTCATAATTCTCTGAGACTAAATAGATGTACCTGATTCTCTCACACCACGTTCCCCTTTCAAGCTTAAGAAACTTTTCTGCAGTTGTTATTCACAACATAAATGTTTCCAAGTACACACCCCAACACATGTTTGTTGACTTCCTTCCACATGCAAAACGACAAAAAAGCCAGGAGGCACCACAGACCATTTTGTTCAGGTGTTTCCCAGCCACAGGGACACACTACACTATGTCCACATGTATGCTTCATAGGTAACTTTTTAAGGTTACTCTGTAACTTGAAAACAGAGATAACATCTCCTAAACTGGAGATCTAGCTCTTGCAGAGGGCAAGAGAATTCCTCAGTGCCCAAGACCGCAAGAAATAATCCTCCTCCAGAAATAAATATGCAGACTGAAGGCTGTGCCACTCAGATGCTGCCCAGCTCCCACCTCACATGCAAACTCGATGTCTCCATCTCCAGCCACTTCAGAGCCAGCAAGGGCCGGTGTCCGCACGGTGCAAGGCTCCTCTCCTCACCCAGAGCCCCACCAGACCTACAGCCAAGCAAGGCAAACTCACAAACCGAACCCAACAAGTCCACATTAGATAGGTCTGTGCGGGTGGGTGTCAGAACCAGGACCCCTGTGCTAACTTCCTACCATCAGGGGCCTCCTTGACCTCAGCCACCCGTCAGGGACCGGGGCGGGGGGAAAGGCCTTAAAAACAAAGCGCCGCTCGCACTTCGGGAGGAGGGGGGCGCAGCGCTATTTACACACACATACGTATATAAACCCACAGCCCCTCGCTGTTGCTCTAATTAACAAATTAGCAGTAACGAAGGGGAACAGGCGAAGGAGCGCCGGGCTCGGCCCCCGCTTACCAAGGCAGGCGCCGCTGACGAGGGCGGTGGCGGTGAGCGCCCCGGCCGAGGCGCCGTACACCTTCTTGGCGTTGGCGACCAGGAACGGGGCATGTTCCTGCAGGCAGCTGGCCACGCCGATGTGATAGACCCCCAGGAAGCCGCAGCCGGCGAAGGAGATATTCCAGGTGGAGTCCAGCGGGAACATGGCCTCCGCGCCCCGCTAGAGGCGGGGGGTGCTGGGGGGAAGCAGCAGTGGCCGCAGCGGAGAGGTGAAGCCGCGGGACTCTCCTCGCACCGCCTCGGGACGGGCGGGACAGCCGGGAAACCCTGCTGCCGAAGACAAGAACACAGAACACGGCAGCGTTTGCCGCTGGCAGAGCTCTGCCGGCTGCCAACTTTATATGCGGCGGCCCGGCCCTCGGGCCCGCCCCGGCATGGCCACCGCCCCTCGGCAGCCCCGGCGCGGGCGGGATCGCCCGGCCCCTCCTGCCAACCCTTCCTCTGGTGAACCTCTCGCCCGGCCCGGGGCCGCTGCGGCCGCTCGCCCTGAAGCGGCGAGGGCCGAGCCAGCTGCTCGGATGAGAGGGTTGCGGCTGCTCGCAGCACCCCAAACCTCGCCCTGTCCCGGGGCAGCAGGCTGTCCTTCCCTCACGGATCATCCTGATTCTTGGCATCTGCTCCGAGTCCTTGGGGTTTCCTTTGTTTTTCAGGGATCGGGCTAGAAACGTGAGAGAACGGGAAAAGCTTTCCCCTTTCACAAAAAGCTGAGGAGTCAGAAGGAGGCAAGTCTTGTCACAGCAATAGGGGAACTGGGAAAAAGGCAATCTCCCTGTTCTCCCTCAACAGCTTTCTCTGCCTCTTAACTCACAGGATCGTTGGAAGGGCCCCACAAGAATCATTGAGTCCAGCTCCTGGACCTGCACAGGATGTCCCCAAGAGCACACCATGTGCCCAAGAGTACTGTCCAAACACTTCTTGAACTCTTGGTAAGACTTGTGTTGTGACCACTTCCCTGGGGAAGCTGTTCCAGTCCTCAACCACTCTCTGCGGGAAGAACCTTTTCCTAGTATCAAATTTAACCCTGCCCTGACACAGCTTCAGGCCATTCCCTCGAGTCCTGTCAGTGGTCACCAGAAAGATCAGTGTCTGCCCCTTCTCTTCCCTACAAGAGGAAGTTGTAGACTGTTGTATACTAATCACCAAAACACATGTATTTGCTTACCTTTGCTAATCTTTTCTCAACACTTTTTTCCTCCACAAGCCTCTAAGCTCGCCAAAATGCTTACATTTAGTTAGGGCAACTGTGATTTTCAGCACTATTTCTGCACAAGGTTGTCACAGGGCAGCACTGGGTGAGAGGCCAGTACTAGTAGACCATCAAAATAGATTACAGAGGCTGTA